CTTCAGCTCCATGGCTGAAATGTGAATTCGGCTGTTATCTTCTGTTTTTCTTGGTCATACACCTTTTAGCACCTGGGATCTTGGAACCAACCAATGCATAAGTTCTTTAATAGGTATTTAACGGACTTAGAAGCAACTTGAGTACCAAAGTATTTCAGTGGTCAGGAAGTATTCAGGGGATCTGACAGTAGGGTGCAGGGAAATCACGACATGTACGGAGCAGGCACCTGCAGTTACTGCAGTGAAAGGCGTTGGGATAGAGGTACAGATCTGCAGAAAAACAGGCTTGCTTAGTTCTGTCATGGAGTAGATTGCTGTATTTTTATTCACTGTGAAGCACTACTGCATCTGGACGTGTGTCACAGCAATTGTAATGATTGACTACAGTAGAGATTGTTTCAGAGATGAGCTTATCTGAACTCAGATTAATCTCACTGTTTTCCCGTTCATGTATTTCCTCCTTCTGTTTGCTGCTTCTGTTATTTCTCATTTAGCTGTGCTGTATTGCTGTAGGCTGAGTGCTTGCTGCAGATCCACTGTTGGATTCATCATTTTTTGTTTCCATGGTAATGAACATGGCAAAAAAAAAATCTTTATAAAATATGATAAAAATAGGCAAATTCAGGTTCATCAAGAGCTTGTGTCTGCTGCTTTTTTAACTTGGTAAAATGTTCCTGATGGTGAATATTCACGAGGTACTCTGGCACTCCAGCAGTGGAAACTTGATTTGCAAGGATCAGGAAAAATCATAAAGCTCTGCTATTGTTAATTAGTTATCCATTTGAATTGCAAGTGTGCTGATATTGTTATAGAATGGATTTACATGGGAGAGTGAAATGGAGACACTTGCTGCTGAGAATAGAAAAAGTACTAGAGATGACACAGACAGTGGTTACCGAAGTGTAAAAGGCTGGCTCCGTACAGGCTTTAAAGGTACTGTGTCAAGGAGCAAATCGGAAGTTTTTCTTTCAGTTAATACCTAAAGAATATTGATTTTGCTTCCTTATTATAAAACTGAGGAATGATGTAAAAATAAGAAAATGACAGGGCTGTAATGGAAATTTTTCTTGTGTCTATGTTTGTTCTGCTGTATGGTTACCATACGTATATCCATTCAAAATCTAGCAGTATAGAGATACAGTAAAATAGTGCATGTTAACAGTAAAAGCAACTGTTAATGTTAAACACTGCTTCTTTATAGTCTTACTTGTTCGAAGTATTATATTGGAAACAAGTTGGTTGGTTTTTTGAGCCAGGGAGATACAGGCTGCACAGCTGCTCTGTTCTCTAACCCCTCATTCCATGTTTATAGCTAAGCAACAACAGTATGTCTTGCATTTTAGGAAGTAATACTATTTATAAAAATATTTTCAAATTAATCCAGGAGGCAGAGGAAGAAGAATTGGTGCAGTGCTAGAATCTGGATCTCACTTCCCCCATAGCACTTTATTCAAACATCCACTCTTGGAAAACAAACAAACAAAAAGCCACCCACAAAAAAAGTCAGTCCCCCAAACTACCTATTAGAATGCCTTTGAGTATTCAACAGTTCAAAAGCATTTTTCAATAACATATTTCCTTCTGTGTCATTTAAAGAACTAAACTAATCTGTTTTCTTTCTTCTGTGGATATGGTTTGTGCCAGTGTTTCCAGCTGTTTCTACCATTTCAAATCTGTGGTCTGAAACTTAAACTATGTCTATTGTTTCACAAAGCTATGTGTGCATGTCAAGTTCAGTTAACTGTACTCTGTCAAACTTTATGTTAAAAAGCCTTTCAGTCAAACAGAGACTTTAGAAATAGTAAGAGTTTTAAACAGATTGTTGTAATGTGAATTGGCTTTAGATGTACAATGAATTACATACAGCAGACTTAGGATGAGAATGTTTGCGTGCCTGGGTCAGTAAGAATTTTACTCATAGTTATTCTACAACTTTTTGTTATAGGCAGTCCCTGATCATGCTTCATTTGTGAACTGGATTTCGTAGAGCAATATAGAAGCCTTCAAATTCTGCACCTTAAATATGGATTTAAAATTTCACTCGTGGAGCTGTTCAGTGTATGGATAATATACAAACTAAGCTGGTCTTGAGCTGATACTTCCATTTCATTGTTCTCCTCTGACATCAGTGTATCAGACTTGCAGGGGAGGACACTGTGACAATATGTTTAGGTTTAAACAATTACAGATAATGAGAGTGGTAAATGTCATGATGTACAAGTGTTAGTGAAATACGTTTTTAATTATTACTTTGCTTTGTGTCATATTTCATCCCTCGAAGCCAGAAATACCCTCAAGATGCTTTAGCCCATTGATGGAACTTCTCCACTCCCTACTAATTATCTGTAATTAATACCTTGCTAAACAGTGGGAATTGCTTAGTCCTGTCCTAGTATCATTCATTATCCATATATTTAAAAATGTTACTAGGCCATTTCTGGTTTCATTGGCAACTTATCTCTGGACCTCTTTACCTATTTTTGGAGCTAGAGTTCCCTATTCCTTTATATTTTCTGTTGACCTTTTTTGTATCTATCTTGATTATTTAAAGGATATAAATAATTTCTGCTTAATTTAAAAATATTCCAAAGCGTCTTTTTGAAACCTCTATTTTCTTTAGTATTCTGAAAGAAGTCTTTTTAAGTCACTGTATCTTCTTGTGTCTGTTTTGTTACTCAAAGCGCTTAGAAACTTCTGTGAAGAAGTATAACACTTAAATTACTTTCTAAGTGGGCTGTGTAAAAGGATCTTCTTTTTGATTGCAGTTATGACAAACTGAAATGACAAAAATTACTAATTTAAAGAATATAAAAGTGGTAACTGTGATTTTTCTAAGAGTCTGTGTTAGTAATACAATTCAGTTGTGTAATGCTGATGAATTCCTTGAATTTCACCGATGCGTTATAAAACAAGAATAGAAACCAAAAAAATTTCTTCATCTTTTTTATTAAACTACTTGAGGAAATTATATAAAAAAGGCAAGTTGTATTGCAGCAATCCTATTTGAATCTTCTTTAACCCACTTATATTTTTGCATTCTTGATGATTTTGAAAGCTTGAATCCTGGAGGAGACTGAATTGATGAGCACAGTATCTGGACTCTCAGGTTTTATTCAAAACACAAATTTGTAGACACATGGTTAAATCTGACCATGTGGAAGGGTTATTTCAGCTTCTTTCAGCTTCAGCTTCATTGCAGAGCTAATTGTCGTTCTTTAAGGAGTTAACCGGGTGTGGTTTGAGGTTGCTGAAACTGATAACAGCCTACTTGCATAATAAGGTGTTTCACTGAAGCTTTTACTAAAGCTTTTTAAGGAAAATGAACAGATTTGGGATAAGAGTAAGGATTTACCAGAGTAGATTATTTGTTAGAAGATAAGAAAAAGGGTAAAGTACATGACCAGTTTTCATAGCAGTAAATCACCAGTGGAGTTTTGTGAAGATCTGTGCTGGGACCTGTGCGGTTCATTTTGTTCATAAATAGTTTGGAATAAGAAGTGGAGATACCCATTTTTTTTTTTTTTTTTCTGAGTAGTAGAGATAAGGGCTGACTGAGAAGGTTTGTAGGAGGATGTTATGATAAAATTGATAGGTAAGTGTAGGTAAGTGTGAAGGAGGGCAAAAGGATTGGTCAGAGTTTTGAAGTAGCTTCCACATGTGAAATGAGTGAAAAGATTTTGATCTCTACCTGTGGAAAGAAGCAAGAAGAGATGTGGTGGAGCATTTTGAACGCTGAGAAGGTGGTTTTGCATTCCCTTTTCTATCAGAACAACGGAACATATGATGAAGAAGGTGATGAATCAGATGCTTCCTAATGCAGGTGCTTAAAAAATACTGCTATTTGAAAAGTAATGGGGTGAATTCAAGATTTGTGTAAGTCACCAAAGACTGTTAAGGCAGTCACTTCTGGTTCAATGTGTCCCTCGGGCTTCTTAATTTAGGGATTTCCTAAGGCAGGTGATAGCTTTATATGAGGCCAAGGGAATATTCTGGGAAAGCAAGAAGATATGATTGCCCTGTTCTTTCTTGCCTATCCTTGACTATCCACTGTCAGCCTCTGTGGTCTTATCAAATATGTTCATTTTTATGAAAGACCCTATCTTAAATTATCCTTCCTTGTTACGTGTAATTCGTGTTTCTGAATGGGCTGGTAATTTAGCAATATGAATAGTCTAGAACTTTCTTATCTTAATCAGACCAGTTCATCTTGAGGTGGTCCTATCTGGTAAGCTCCCAGTTCCTGCTTTTGTTTTGGCTTGAGAGATTCTGCTCCCTACCCAGTTTTCCATTAATAGGGTTCTTGTAATCGCCAACTGTAGGAAGCCAAACTGCTTGTGAAGGGTGTGCTGAGAGAAGAATGCCTCTTCTAGGTGACTAAAAAGTGGACAAACTCTATTCATTTGTTCATGTAAATCTGGAAGGCTCGTGGAGCAGCATGAAACTTTGCTGGTTTGTGTATAGATAACTGGGGAAAAACATAGAGGGAAACATGTAAGGAATACAGAGGTTCTTAGTTACTGCCATCCTTTTTTGATGTCGCACAAACCGAACCAGACAAGGCATTTGAAGAGTCATGCTTCTACAATTTATTAACTTGGTCCCATACTCTACAAGTTTGTCACTAGAAGGTTGGTAGTTTCTTTTGGTGAGGCCTCAACTCCATCAAAAATTTTTTTTATACGTGTAACTTCTCATTAATTTAGTTAACAACATAAAGCTTTAGCAAGATACTTAAAAGCACCTAATTGAATTTATTTGTGGTTATAAGGTGTTTATTTACTTCTGTAACACTTTGCTGGATACCCAGAATTTGGCATGAGCTTCTTGGAAGGTTTTATTTCTGATCTATCCTGAATCAACCTACCTAATACAGCATGTATTATTCTGGACAGGACTGCTGAGATATAAGGTTTAATTAATGAAAGAAAATCTGTTATTGCTTAGAAGTATGATTTCTTTAAGACTGATCAAGAATATTTATTCATTTTTAATTACTGCAGTGTACAGACTATGACCTGGATTATGGAACTGAATGTTTGCATCTGGCTCTGAAATACTGTAAAACAAATGCCAAACTTGTTGAAGGAACAGCTGACCTCTGGAAGGTAAAGACAATACTAATATGTATTTTTATATATCTTTTAAAATTAATACAATTCACATATTACCATAAAAATTTGGATGTGTTTTCAGTTGTAACAGTTAGGCTTTTCCCTTCCAAATTTCAGAATTGTTTTTTGATTATCATGAGCTTTTTTTAGAGCTCATTGATGTAGACGGACTTGGGCAGATGTTACCTGAAATAATCAATGAAGACAGTATTTATCTGGAAGAAGGAAAACCAACTAGGTACTTGAATAACCTGAGAATCTGAAAAACTATAAATCCACGATCTCTAAAACGAAGAACATTCTTTTGTGAGATGAACTTTCTCTTGCAATTTCTATATCTTTTGTATATTTTCCTCTACTTTTCCTATGAGGCCATCGTTTTTTTCTCTGGTGCCAAATACCTGTTTGATTTTTAGATTGGTTCACTACATTCAGTAACACTGTAGTCTTTAACACCTCTTCCAAAAATCTTTTAAAATTTTTAAAACATCGTTCACCTTGTCTAATACTCTGTAGGTTCCTGATGACTGACAAAGCAGGAGTGTATACAGGTGCCAAAGGACATGCCCCTGCTGCTTAAAAGTCTCACATTTCATTGTTTTGGGTGATGGGACATTATTCTTTCTCAGTAGCTGTTGTCATGCAATTTTTAAGTGTTTCCTTTTTTTTTTTTTTATTTTATTTTATTCTGTTCGTGACCACATTGAAGGATCTGGAAGCAGCTCAAATCATTCCATCTGTCTTAGACAGTAAATTTCCTCCAATGGGACATGAATTCTGATAATATGACAGTAAATCTTACACAGAAAGGTAATTTCCTGAATCTGCAGTGCAAATTTCCAGTGCAATTTAGCAGCAAAATTTACTTGTGCGCTGGTTGCATACAGCAGCTTCTTTCAATACCTTTCTGAGGATGTAGTCTATCTGAAACAGTATATTGTCTGTTTTCCTATTCAGTCTTCTAAGGGACAGATTCTGTCATGCATGCACATTTGCATTGCATCACTTCTAGGATGGTTTTGTTGTTCTTGTTACAAAGCATGGTGCTTACATGAGGGGTAACGAAATACACCCATAATGTTCTTTTAGTTCTTTACTATCTGTAGATACTACTGATGCCCAGCAGGTGAAACGTAGTTTTTTGACCTAGAATGACAGAATATGCAAGACTGAAGGAAGTGTCTAGATGTCATCTGGTCCAACACCTTGCTGAAGGTGGCGCCAGGTTAGTTAGATTAGGCTGTGCAGGGTCTTGTCCAGTTGAGTTTTGAGTACCTCCAAGAATGGAGATTTCACAGACTCTCTGGGGAAAACAATTCCAATGCATGCCCCTCTGTATGGAGAAGACTTTTTCATGATATTTGGTTGGCATTTCCCTTGCTGCCTCTTGTGGGCAGGGTGGAGGGTGAAAGGCCAACAGAAAGATCTGAAGAAAAGCTGAGTTTACTCTTCACTATGGCTGCTAATTATGACCCTTTCCCACCCTTTATTTTCTATTCTTTGGGCTGAACAAGCCAAGTTCTCTCACACAATTTTAGCAGCCCTCTGCTGATCTTCCTCCTGTTCCTCATTGCATTATACTGGGGAGCCCAGAACTGGGAATAGTACTCTGGTGTGTTCTCAAAGCGCCGAATACAGGGGAATAATCCCTGCATTCCCTGTAATGAAGTCTGCTTCCTTACTGTACAGCCCAGTCAACTGCACTCCTTTTCTGCACCACTACACACTGCTGACTCTTGTCAGCTTGTCCTGAAGGTCCTTTTCTGCAAAGCTGTTTTCTGTATTTTGGCATCAGTGCGGGCTGCTGCCCAGGGTTATTCTGTCCCTGATGCAGGATGCTGCATCTGTGTTCGTTATCTTTCACAAGGTTTCTGTCAGCCCCTTTCTCCAGCCTTTCAGGATCCCGCTAAATGAGTGTTATACCCTTGAGTGTATTGAATACTTCCCCGTTTGTTGTCAACTACTAGTTTGCTGAGGGTATTTCCTCTTTCCCAGGTTATTAATAAAGGTATTAGACAACGTCATCCCCAGTATCAGCCGCTGAGGAACAGCACTAGTAACCAGCCCCCAGTGACACTTCGGACTTCAGCTTGTGCAAATCTCTCTCTTCAGAGAATCGTTGAAGTGTTGGTGCCACTCCAACATTGTTGGTGAAACGAAATCCTGATGCTGTTAACTTTCTAGCATGTGGGACCCATTGCAGTAGCACTGGGCTTTAAAGAGGCCTGTAAACACATGGAAAATGTGTGGAGCAGTGCCATTAAAGAAGGGAACACTCGTGCTCAGTCTGTGCAGTTTGATGAAGTGCAGAAGGCTGCCAGTTTTCTCAAGTGGTGCTTGCCTACAAAATGGTTACGAGCTATTGCTGTTCATTACTAGTCACCTTTCAGAAGCAGAATTGTCTTTCTTTAGCTGTCATAAAAATGTAATTTGTGATATGTTGCTGTTGTTTTCTGTAAGGCTTTGCAGTGCTGAGATAGATGATATTTCACATGCCAAGAACTGATCTGTTCCCAGGGGTCCCAGTTTTATTTTTTCAACAAGAGGCAAAAAGATAATCCATCCAGATAAATGAGAACTGGAATAAATAATCATTGTTCAGCCGAGGTTTCAGAGGATGTGTAACAGAAAAACTGCAGTCAGTTAACAGGTGGGGAACAGTTTCTGAAGTCCAAGTATTATGAACCAGCTTCATCCTATGTGGACCTTGAATCTTTAAAGAGCAGATCGGGTATTGCTAAGTGCCATTTATTTATTAGGTGCACAACTGACATAACATTAAATGATTC